CCAGAAGGGAAACATCCATCCATGGTCATCTTGGGCAGTTTCTTCTCCAACAGTATAATTTAGGGCATGGGAAGGGCTACGTTAGGCTTCTCTGAACTGATCGACAAGGAAAGATAGATAGAATCAGTTCAAGAAGAGATCAATCTGGTCACTGGCAAACAAACACTTGGTATTATCTTTTGTATTTAATTTCAGTACAGAGTTGCCAGGAAGGGCATCGTAAACACATAAATATGTATAAATACACATACTGACATTGATGGGTGGGCTAGATGGTTTTTTTCTTAGACAATAAATTAAAAAGTTCAAATGGCTGACACTGTTATTGGTGGGGGAGGAATTTAACAGAGTACCTTTCCTAGAACTACTTGATGCTATTGAAAATTGTTACATCAAACCCCACAGCTATTATCAGTGCTGTTTCTCCAAAGAAAGATTTAAAGAAAGATGCTCCAGGTGAGAAAGAATGGTTGTTGCTTTCCTTTATTTTCAGAATTGTTATTTATTATTCGATATACACAAAAAAAACCTTATTTTAGATTTTCCATGCTTTCATACCTGTTTACTGTTTAAGTTCATTTTGCAATCTTGTAAAGCAATTTTCTTTGTATTGTGACTTTGTTTTGTACATTCACAACTCATGATTTTAGATTTTTTTGTGGCTTTTTTTTTTTTTTTTTTTTTTAACTTTTATTGCTGCATTCATCTGAAGGTAAACATTACCTCTAAAAATACTTTGGTCTGGTTGGCTTTCTTTTGTTGAGTGCTAGATTACTTTCAAAGTCCCCTGAAATTAACCACTTAAACGAGCCAGTCGAATCGCACAGTAAGGCCATTCCAAATCACTAAACCTAAGCCACAAATCTACGTCTTCTTTACAATGTGGGTGGACTATCAGCTCCATGGCAGGCAGTTTCTATATTCCCATCTAAAAACTGAGTTGAGAGCAATATAAAACACACCACCCCAATCCAGGAGCATAGTTGAGTTGACATTGGGTACGATGTACAACCCAATAAGTGCTTTCCCACACTGACGACTGACAACAGTTTCAGAGTGTACCTCTTCATATCACTCAGCTCATAGCTATGTTTTTAAACAGCAGATATTATCTCATGCCATATCTTGCTCAGGTAGGTAGATTAAAGCTAAGTAATCTAGGGCCCCTTCAACCTCCATGAAAATCATGGAAAATGTTGTATGAATAAATAATACCTCTCTGTTGATGCTTTAGCATTGGTAACTGAAGGAAATAAGAAAGATTTATCATCGTTCTCATAGAGTCTGGATCTGAGAGCAACAGACCTTGAATGGAAGTGGCTGATGACATATTCCTAACATGTTCCTGGTAGTTTTGTCAGAAAATTCTTAGCCCACAGAAACATTCCTGAGAATAATAACAAAAAATAGCTGTGATCTGTAGAATTCCTGCTTTCCTCCAAGAATGTAGGCATATACCTACAGCACTTTGATGTGCTTCTAGGACCCCAAAAGCTGGAAAGTAGCATAAGCTGAAAGAAAACTAAGAATGTGGTTTTCAGTTCCACCAAAGAGTACAACAAAGTTTGAGGTAAAAGAGCAGATCATCATAAACTGAATGTAACTGGTTTCAGGAAACCAGACCAAATAACTGCTTAGACCTTCCCAATTGTTTTAGTGGGATCACTAATAGAAATGGCAGAATCAGCAATTCAGAGGTTCTCCTGAATTTTTTCCAACATAACCATCTTATATTTGCTTGCTTCTAGCCTTAGCTTGTCTCAGGATGCCAGTACCAGGTTTGCTTCATTTCTCTTTACAACGCTTCTACTAAGTTGCAAACAGGTTCCTTGGGCAAAGAAAGTGATTCCACAGGAACTCAAATAAACCCAAATATCCTGCACTGCCAGTGCTTAAAAATAGTGATTTTACTGTTTGTACTTCAGGATTTTCAGTGTTTCTAAATGTCCAGTGAGCCATTTAAGAGGCTGAGCTCATTTGGGATGTATTTCTTTCATGGTATTTTCATTAGCCAGGATATCATGAGGACACAGATGCTGCATTATTTCAGTATCATACATGGCTTCTTGAACTCCTGAAAGAGTTGGAGAAAAAACAAATGCAGAGATTTGAAACTCAAGTGCGAGCTGAAGCTGCAAGCTCCATTCTTCAGACCTTGCAATAATATAAGAGTACATACAAACTTCCGAATCCCAAATGATTTGTCATAGTTTTCTAGGATTTTTGGATACAAGACATGATATTGTTCACCAGTCTTTATCCTAGTGAATCACTGCATTCTCACACACTGTAGGGTAGATATTTTCAAGAGCAAATTCACTGGGAAAGCTACTTGTACCAGCAGACAGGGGACAGATGATCTTGCCTTGATTATAACTCCTTGAGTGGTCACAGGAGAAATTCATCTGCAGATCCAGTTCTCCTGAAGCAGTAACCATGAAACATGCTACATTTGAAGTGCCTCCATCAAGTATGACCTGTCCCAAGTCTATTTCAGCCACATGTCCCTGTTAAGATGCTTAATCTTAGATATGAAAGCTTTGAGCTGGCTGTCTTCTCCATCCATTGATAACACAATGCATGATACAGCATTTTCAGGCTAATCTTCCCTACCTTAAAAACTTTTATGCACCTAGAAAGTGAACAAGCAAACAGCAGATGATAAGGCATATGCCAGCTGCAACCTTTAGTACAGCAGTAATCAGCAGTGCACTGAAGGAGCCTTCCAACAACACTCTATAAATGTTTTCAAAGAAATCTTAACATAATTTCCTTGCCCGCAGTGCCATTTGATGGCTGCTAATCACCTCTGTGTCTTTCAAAACGTTAGAAATGCTTATTCCCAGAGATGGTAAAAATACCTCTGAAAGACTAAATCTATTTGTCATGCATCATCAGAGTGAGCATTTAACATACACCCTGGTGCTACCCCTATAAAAGATAGAGCCCGCATCCCCTAGAAAAGATTACCCCAACTCGGAACTCACTTCAGAAGCACATATATTCATTCCAAAAAAAAAAAAGAGTAGAGAGATACTGTTTGTTTGCTAAACAGCTGTTTCCTTCCTCGGTCACAATTAAAGGAAAGTGTTTTTCTTATACAGCAGAATCACATCAGTAGTTTATTTTCTGTCAAAATAAAAACTTTGTTTTGTCTGAGAGCTTCATCACTGCCAAAGAAAATGCCTGCAGGAGTACCAAGAGATACCATGATCCATACCACAGAATAAATCAAAGTAAGTGCATACAAAGTCAATCCAGTGATAGAGATTTATTATGGCCAGGAGTGGCATTTTGCTCCATTATAACAAATGATGCTGTGTTTGTGCAGCTGCCCATCACCTTTCACCATTCTTTGTCAAATAGCCTGCTCATTTCCTCTAGTTAGCCAACATCTATGCCAAAGATGCAGAACTTCAATAATGTGGTTTCTGCAACCATTTTCCACTTGGAGGATCTAGCTCTTATCTTTGCACGAAAGTGTATCTCAGCTTCAGCTTCACCAGAGCTACTCTCCCATTGGCATCAGCCCAGTTCTGTAGTCACATTGGTAAAAGTCATCTTGCCTAACTGACTATTCCTGTCCAGCTACATGAACCTGGTTTAGGGTAGATATATCACCTACTTTCCCTTACCTGAATGTCCACTGTGTATACTGAGAGTTTAGACAACCATTACATGCATACATACTTACAGGACTATGCTATCCTCTCTGCAGAGGACTTTGAAAAGCAGAGCTGTGTTGAGATCACTGAAGACTGCAGGGAAGATGGGGCTTTTGTTTGGATACATCCATCTAGACACAGGGAAGAAAACCAGAGAACATTAAACTCTTCTCAGAAGCGTTGTCATAGAGAAACAAATAGGACTTGACATTACTGATATGTTCAGCCAAAAAAAAGAAAGGTAATTAAATTATTTGCACAAACACCAGGTGTCTGCTGCAAATTAAAGGTTCCAGTTCCCTTGTCAACTCATCTTGAGACACACCATATATTTCTGATGCAGAAATATCTAACATGCTTCCTCTTCTCAAATCTAAAATCTGGCCATCAGCCTGCACCACGTAACAGCCAAACTTAAACTTGTCTATTCTCTGAGCTGACAATGCAGAAACTCAGGATGAGCACATGCTGAATGAAAAGTCAGAGGAGTAAGAGAACACCAGTAAAACCCTATCAAATCAAACTGTGGCAAAACAGAACCAAGAAAAAGGCAGAGGGAGCCTTGTATGAGGTAATATCTGTACCTGGAGCACTGACCTAATTAGAGTTACAATAAAATCAGATGCATTTCTGCTTTGCACCACAGCAAAATGCAGGCACAGAGATAATTACAATGCTGCCAGCAGCCTCTGGCCATGCAGGAAGCCTGGAGCTATTTTTGCAGATAGGCTGATATCCATGCTTCTTAATTCCCTTTCTCCCTCCATTAATAAAATAGCTGATGTTGTCAATGCTTTCCAGAGAGATTCCTTGGGCTCTTTACATAAAGTGGTGTTTCAGTCATCAGGTCATGGCAGAAAATACATGCACAAGTCAACATATGGGAGTAAACCACATGGCTTACGGAGCAGCTGGAGCTTTAACACTGAGACCTGTGATCTTTTTAGGGTTTGGATTATGTCGTTCATGTGAGCAGTTGATTTCAGGAGCTGCCCATCCGGAATTTTAAGTCAGAGCCTCTCAAAAGTATTTCTTAGCTCACTCAGTCTTTTAAATGACTCAGTTTGGTGAACCATTTTCTCCAGATCAAATCAATCACTTCTCTCATGAGTGTTCCAAGGATATCTTGTATTTTTGTCCCAGCTGAACTTTAATGCTGACCTAGCCGAGATTACTAGTGAATTAGGTCAGCCAGAAGCCTGAACTCTCCCAACAAATATCTAAAAAACATCAAGAAAATCCAACACAAGCAGCAGATTCTGCAAATCAGCTTGCACATGTATTTCCAAGTGGTCACCATTTCTAGTTATTTAACTTCAGTTTCTCCTTCTTCAGCCCATGTCGAAGGAGGTGTGTGTCTTTTGCCACCAGCCTGTCTACTCTATGGAGTGTGTTTTCCCAGACAAAGTCTGTTTACACCACTCATGCTTCTGCTGCAAAATCTGTGGGAAGAAACTGAGGTGAGTTGTAGGACCCCAGATACATTTGCTTTTAAGACAGGTCCAAGCACTTTGCCTCAGAATGGCCCAGTGGTCATTCAAACAGGATAGGCTCAAGGTAACAGGGAAGAGCAGAGGCTGTCCTAAATGCAATTTGCTCTTCCATCCCTAGAGTCTACTTGTAGATACCTGCAGACCAAGAATCTGTATGATGTTAACAAGGGGGAGATGAAAAATATGAAATAATTTAAATTTAGAAATGCTGATATGGATTTTAATTGTCAGAGTAAGTCTGAGTGCCTCACCTGTTCATAGAGTCGGGTAGGTTGGAAGGAAACTTGGAAGCCTCCACCCAGTCCCTTGCAGGTCCAAGGAGGAATGTTGCTCAGGACCTCATCCAGGAGAGGTGTGTACGGTTCCAAGGTCAGAGATTCCATAGCCTTCCAGTCGCGGCCTCTCTTTCAAGATGTGATCAGAAGCAAAAATGTTCTTTTCCTATATCTAATCACGATATCCCATGTTTACAGCTTGTTCTTATTGCTACTTGTTCTCCACACCTCCAAGAACAATACAAGTCTGTCTTCTCTATAACCTCCCACAAGACAAACACACAGAACAATGAGATCCTGCCCTTAACCTTCTTCTTATAAGGCTTTTCTAAGCCAGCTCTCAGCCTCTGGCACTTCAGGGCCATGCTGTCCACACAAAGTGAAAGATGAAGTCCTGTTTTCAAGCCTGGCACATAAAGGGATCTCATATAACCTGGCCTACAGCTCCTTGAAGTGCCACAAGGAAATGTATAATTTTTCATGTGTTTTAGATTTTGAAAGAAAAATCAAACATATCCTTAGCAGACAGTACTATTGAAAGGTGCCTTTCTTCAAACCCCCCTTTTCCCCAGCAGTTTCCATTGAAAGCCAACTCTACAGAGAACCTATCCATCATTGCTGTTCATGCTTCCCTCCTGCACAACCTCTAACAGCTATGCCAATGTGTGTTTTCCAGCTTGCACAATTATGCTGCCTTCCACGGGGTGTTCTACTGCCAAATCCACTACAAGCAGATGGCCAAAAGCAGAAGGGAGAGAGAAAGGCTGGAGCAACAACCAGGGGATGATCAGATGCAGCAAGCAGCAGTGGTAGGCAGAGGAGCACAGCCTCTGGACTGCTATAGCAGAGCTGAAAATGAGACCAAAGCAAGAAGGAAACCCACACCCTTCAATGTGCCATGCAGGTTGCAGCTGGCTGAGCAAAGGCAAGAGCTGAACAGCAGGCCTGTGTTCTTAGGGAACAAGCTCAGAAGCTGCTGGCCACCTTCAGAAACAGATGGAAAAGCTAGAAAGGGAACGTGTTCCTGGAAAAAGCCTGTGTTGAGCTGGCAAAGCCACCAGGCTGCGGGCAACGAGGTGGACAGGATGGTGCTCCTGATTCAGGAGAGAAAAACAGCCACAGAGGCAGCCGTGAAGGAGAGAAGCTTTCTACCTGGTGTCACCTATACTGAGCAAAGAGAGCAAATGGGCTCCTGGCCTAAGCCCAGAGAGCAGAGAGATGGTAAGAAGGCACTGGCGCCTCGGGCTGGGGATGTAGGCAATGGTAAGCGAGGGGGCCAGGTGTCCCAGCCACTCGCTGCGTCCCAGCAGAGCAAGCTCCAGCTGAAGAGAGGGTCAGGCTCAGCCTCCTCCCCTGTGCTCCTGGAACCTGCTAAACCTCTGCCTCGTGGCTTGCTCAGTTCCCACCAAGCTGCATCTCAGGGCGCTAAACCCAGCAGCTGCATGTTCCTAGGGGACAAAAGGGGCTGTGTCCTGCCCACAGCAGAGCTCCCAGAGGCAGAAAATGAAGCCTATGTGTCCTTCTCAGCCAGCACAACCAGTGAAGGAGACACGAGGCCTGCAATGACATATGACAAACGTAAATGGACCACTGCCATTGCAGGAGACAAGCAACATCTTGGAGAGGGAGTGAACAACCCACAGCCTGCACATGTGCCACAAAGTCTTGAAACCAGAAACAACACAAAGAATATGAAGCAAAAATACAGAGATGAGGGCACTGATCCCCCTGAACTCAAAGCTAAACACCAAGCCTCCCACATCCCTGATGAGCCAGGGACCCCCAGTGCAGCACCCAGCTCCCCAGAGCCAGGAGGGCTGAGTGCATCACCTGACATAGCTGAGCTGCTGAGTGAAACACCAAAGATAAAAGCTGATGAGCTCCCTAGGAAGCAGGCAACAGTCATTCAGGAGGAGAACGTGCAGCCATCCAGCGTGAGTCATTTGGCTGGAGAAGTGAGCACAGGGGCAGAATTTGAGAAGACAAGCAAAACGAAAGAAGTAAATCCATCAGGATTTCCAGAAGAACCCAGTCCTGATCACACAGCTCAGGAGAACAAACCAGAAAACAACAGAATCTCTGCACTTGGTTTGCCAGAGGTGACAGATGACCACAATATGCCCCATCTACAAGAAACAGAACCTCAGGCCATGTATGGCCAACTGGTAACTAACCCACATAGCAGTATTCTGGAACATGATGTAAAGCAGGAGAGTGCTGGAAGCTGCTCAGATACCACTGAGGGCAAGGAGACCGATGTCCTGTTGTTGGCTCCTGGTACAAGCATTTCAGGTGATGACAAACGCCTGAGAACTGAACTCAGTGTCTATGACCACCCAGCTGTTGGCAAGCAGGTTCAGCAGCCACAGGACAGATGTTGTCCATTTCTCTTGTCAGCACAGGAAAATCAGAAAGAAGATGCAATGAGCTTTGAAGGTGGAAGAAACCCTTTTAATCCTCCTCCAGAGCTTACGTCTGCAGTTGATTACAGCCCAAAAAATCTGAGTAGGGATGGAAATCCACATGTTGGGCATACACGTGAAAGTCAGAACTTACTGAGTTTGGATGTCCAGAACACAATGGTAGAGGATGGGATTTCTTCTTCATCAAGTAATTTAGGAAAGTTACCCAAGAAAGTTGGGATTCAACTAGGCAACATGGATTTTCAAGACGACAATAATGTTTTCATATCTGCAGAAAACGAAAGACAAGATTTTCCCCAAACAGTCATCCCAAATTTAGATTGGCAAAATCCACAGACAGAAACTCCACCTTGCTTTGATCCAAATCCCTCCACACTGGGTCAGGAAATCCTAGCAGAAACAAACGCTCCACTGGTAGCATGGGACACCTCCAGCCTCTTGTTCCTTGCTGGACAGGATGAGGTTGTTACCGGACACCCAGGAGGGAGCCAGAGCTGTCCACCCCTGCAGCACTTTGGTGCACAGTCCCAGGCTCCCAGAGATGCTGAGGGTGCGTTTGGATTGGGTCCTAGTGCTGAAGGCCCAACAAACAAATACCTCCCCGTGCAGGAAGGCAGCATTCCCCCATGCTACCTGTTCACCAGCCATGCTTCTGACAATCAGAATCTCTTTGATCCGTTAAATGGTGTTTCAGACCAACCTGGCCAGGAGGCTCATGCACAAATAGGAAAAAGCAGAGAAATATCAGAAGCTGAAGAAGTTCTGGAAAATCTCTCCCCTGCAGACCCAAATGTGTCCAATGATGGCCTTTTCAAACAGGAGTTCTTCATATAGCTGGGGGGAAAAAAAGAAGAAGGGCTCAGAAATCTGCCACCCTTCTGGCACTGGGTGAATTCAGTTGTGCATTGGCTGATTTATTAGCATCTTAAAATTAGCTAAATTTAAGATCTCTCACCTGATCGTGGCGGATCAATACTCAGTTCCCCAAAAAAAGAAAGAGCATCATAAAGTCTGGCTTCACTGTGAGAAACCTGCAAGGGGAGAGTCATACCTGCAGTGGGACCAGCACCTCCATCTACTGCAAGGCTTCCTCTGATGATGACTGCATGGCCACTGTCTACAGCAGTGAGCAACGAGCTCATCCAGATCCTGAAACTGCCAAGACAAGAAAGCTGTTATCAGGAAGGAACTGACTCCTTGGCCATAAGTGCAAAAAGAAAACAAATGTGTAAAGGCAGAGGTGAGGAGGGCAGGGTGGATATTTGGCTCGAAATCAGGTCTTTGCAATAATAGTGCTTCCACATAAATACGATGTCTAAGCCCTCCCGGAGTTAAAGGAGGGTTAGTAAGTACTGTCAGTGTGGTTTGGAGGAAGATCCTGTTCACAACGAACGACTGTGTTCAAAATGCCTCAGAACTCCAGTGAGTTTATTGATTGATCTCTTCTGATTACAGCGCAACCCTAGATATCTATTTCACATAGAGACAACTATATTTAGACACCTAGAGCCGAATAAATGCCATATATGCACTCTTTGATAACAATGTCTCACTCCCTCATGATATTTTCCCTTTGTTAGACTACAAAATTACTTCACAGGGGAGCTTACCATTGTTATACTCATTTTATGATGGTAGGTAAAGGTAAGCAAATGACCTTGCCAAGGTCACTCAGTCTGAAGGCAGAGGAGGAGAGGGAATCCAGGCCTCTTGTGGCATTCATTGCAGCATCGCTACCTCTGCCATCCCTATGTGGTTTCCTCTCAACCCCCCTAGATGCCCACTGCTGCCTCAGCATGAATACTACAGGAACTAGCAATTACACTAATGATAAAGAAGCTCATCAGAAACCTTAGAAAGCAAAAGTAAGAACATACAGATTGTGAAAATGTTTGTGTACGTGATCTATTGCAGTAAGAGGGTTTATGGCTGGACTAGATGATCTTAGTGCTTTTTCCAACCTTAATGATTGAGTGATTCTATGATTCGGTGTAGTGCATCACTTATTCAACTTTCATGTTATGTGATGTGTTAATCATGTCCATTAAATATATATATATATATATATATGTCCCGCCATGACAGAGATGAAATATACACCGGCTCAGTCAGATCTATTGATGGAATAAAATTGCTTAATGACTGCATCTGCTGTATAACTGAATTCATTGCTTATGCAGAGAGACATGAGTATGAATCCAAGGGAAAGGGAGATGTCCCTGAGAGCTGCATGATTCATTACATGCTGAAATTGGGATGGGCAAGTGCCTTGGGACAAAGTTTGAGGGAGCTGGGAGAAGATCTAGGAGACCTCATTGCAACCTTCCAGTACTTAAAAGGAGCTTATAATGAGGAGGAGGCTGACTCCTTGCACGGTCTGATAGTGATAGGACAAGGGAAAATGGTTTTAAACAACAGAGGGAAGAGAGCTGTGGGTGCCCCATCCCTGGAGGTGCACAAGGCCAGGTCAAACAGGGCCCTGGGCAGCACGACCTGGTGGAGGGTTGCCAGCCCATGGCAGGGGGTTGGAAATAGATGGTGTTTAAGGTCCATCCCAAAACAAGTTTTTCTATGTGATGATTCTATGACCCATTCAGCCCCACACCTCCTTGTGAGATGAAGACAGTCAAAGGAACAATCTCTTTCTATGAAAAGTGTCACCTAAGGGTGACAGAGTTTGCAAGAGGACACTGAAGCTTTCCCAGGTTATCAGCCATCCCTATCTGGTGACATTTTGAAAAACAGCCTCAAGAAGTCATGTCTGCATGAGCACATGAGAGAGCAGCCATGTCTGAGTCACTCCCAGGGAGATTTTGTAGCCAAAATCTGACCTCTTTGCTACAGGGGATGCTGATGGATGACTGGAAAGGAAGAACATGAGCCACGCACAGCAGGGCAAGCTCAGAGATTTCAGCTGCCCATGCAGGATGGGTTTGAAACGCCTCTGCAATGGAAAATCTCTTTGGCCAAGTCATCGCAGAGCATAGCAGTCAAAGATTTTGGCTACAAGGAACCTCTGGAGCAGCCAAGAGACCTTTGCCACTTTACACACTATTTTACACACCACATTACATATTCTGAGGGCAATCCAGGTTTCCAGTTCCCAGGAATAAAGATATAAACCACTCAGAGAGACTGCCCAGGAAATTGTTGAGAGACACAGCAGAAATCAGGTAACAGCCAGACTGCTGCCACCTCTTATCCCCAAATTCTGTGTGCTATGAATGACTGTGTAATGAACCCACATTTTTTCTTAAAGATACTCCCTCAGTCAAATCTGGTTTTGGAATATCTCCAAAATGCTGTAGTTTAGATTCAGTGTTGCAGCTGACCAGGGTTTCTACCTGGGACCAATGAATACTGACAGCTTAGGGCACGGCTGTCAACATCAAGCCAACATGTTGACCAGCTGTATATCATCGTCCAAAGTGAAAATACAAAGAAAGCTTTCCTGCTGCTCTTTCTGGCAGCAGCATGGGCTATCTAATCTGAAGCCATAAGTGAGAGCAGCAAATTCGGAAAAAGGCACAAGGTTTGAGATGGGACAGGGAGATCACTCCCCAGTCACCATCACGGGCAGAACAGAGTCTGTGCTGGGAGAATAATATGAATTATTGCTTATTGTAACTAGAGCACTGTGAGTTAAAAGCAAACTTGAACCTCTTTCCCCTGTGGCTCTGCTTGCAGAGGGCACCCTGCAGCCCCACCTGCTACCAAAGCCTTGACACTTGAACCCAACCCAAATGGCAAATGGTGGCAAAGTGCATCCCAGAAGAATCCGGTGTATCATTTTAGTGGGGGAACATGCTGGTTGAAGTGCTCGTTTTATCACATCGAATTAGATGTTTAGTGCTCAT